TGTTCAATTTAATATGATACATAAACGATTATACTTGATATGATGGAATAATTTCACATTCTTGTAAGTTTTTATCAATCAAATAATTATGTAAAATGGAAAATTTTAATCTTTTTGCAAGTTGAATGACAAAAATTAAAGAGAAATTTCAAAAAATGCAATTTTTCAAGTGCCACTTTACAAAAATGCCACACTTTTGAAATCTTTACAAAAATACCACTTTTTCAAAATTATTTTTTTTTTATNTTATTTATGTTTGGGTTAATTATGTTCTATTAGGGTTTAATTTTGAGTGTTTAGGGGGTTTTAGATGTCAAAATATTTTTTAGAGTTTAGAATTTTAAGATATAGGTTTTATAAATCTATAATTAGTGGCATATTTGTAAATGGACACCCCTAAGTGGCATTCTTGCAATTGTGCACACAAAAAGTGGCATTTTTGTAATTGCTCCAAAATTAAATTAGTAATCTTGTTTATTGTTTTAACTTTTAGTTAATCAACTTAGTGAGATTTAATTTTTATTTGAACTTTGAAGTACAATGTTTCATCACAAAGGACCCATCTATACATATAATTTAGTTCCACTCCATTTATTGGAATAGTGCCACGAAAATTATCTCTTTTCCTTCTTAACTTATAGTGTATATAACTTTTATATCCTGCACAGGAAAAGAATAACCTAGATTGTAAATGAAGTATATCGAAATTTTAAATTCATTAGGATTGGAAAAAAATGTAGATCTTGCAACGTACTGATTTTATTTCAATATTATATATTTGGAAAATCAGTCGATCTATATGTAGTAGTGTTTCACTATTTTTGGGAACACTAAATATCTAAACAAAGAGTTTGATTGATAACTCTTTACCTCTGCGGTATGTCATTTTAGTAGCTATCAATAACAAAACAATAATAGTATTCTCATATTTAACTATTTTGATTTTTCTTACCACTTTTGCTTTCGGCTAAAATATTCTAACTATTTTGTATCACTAATCGAGTTCAAAATCCATGAGATCTATTTTATTTTTCAGTCGTGAAAAATTATTTCCATGTTCTTTATAGTATTGATTTTTATAAACTTTAGATAACGATGGATGATTTAAAATGTAACTTACGGAGTGTATTCGACCCGGACGTTACCGGCATCAGTATTAGCAATGACCCGGAAAGCGTCACGAGAGAGATTAAGATCGCCGTTGCAAGGCTCCCGACAAAAATCAACTACCTTAACGTCCACAGTACGTCCGGTACACGCTCCCTGAAAGTGGTATGTAGGACCAATGCATCGAACCCTGTACCTCCGACCACAAGCAAGACCTCCTTGATACAGATTGCTCTTGAGTCCGACTACCATTGTATCATATTGTCTCCCATAACAAGCAGACCCTAAAACCACATCATTTGTTTGTAGTTAATGATCACTATATCAATTAACATTGTTAAAGATGAGCATAATTATTGAACCAAACCAAATAAACTAAATCAAACCTAATTCATCAACCGAATTTGAATCAGTCTAAAAGGTTAAGACCTTTTTATATACCAATTAAACCAGAACAAACTTAGACCGAATCAAGTAAACCAAAATTGATTGTAATTTAATAGTTTCTAAATAATTATCTATCTATCAATAAAACACATTTCAACTTACTAGAATTACAAAATACTATTCCCTTAGTTTCGTTAAAAAATGACATTCTGGATTTTTCATATTCGATCATTGATTATTTAATTACAAAACCAAACTCAAACCGAATTAGACTGAACCAAAAAATTCAGTCCGAACAAAAAAAAAATGTATATATGTGACGACAAAATATATATACGCACGAGTGTAGGGAGGATCGTAAAAGACAGCTCTTCCTTGAGCAGCTTCAGCGATTGGAGCTAAGATTTGTGCACATACTATCACCATTACAACAAACTTAAGTACCATTCTTATCATTTTCTTTATTATGCTTTGTTGCTGGTTTGTGAAATAATGAAGCAAGGAGGCAGTGANTATTTATTTATACATTGTTGGATTCAAAGACTTGAGAAAAATGAAAAGTCTTTGGTCTACTTCAAGTCTTCCATTATTAATTTTCTTGATTTCAGATGGGCCATTTTTTTCTTATTCCACCTAAAAATTCGGGTGAATTAAATGGACATGATGACTTATGAAGGAAAATTCCAAAAAAAATATTGAGAGGATTTGAAATTTGTAGTTCACTTTATTTTATTTTTGATAGAGAGAAATGATGANAAATTGTATTTCAAAAAGGTAAGAAGGAAATTTCCAAGAAGCTAGAAAGGGTTTGAAGTTTAATTAAAGCTCATTTTCTTAATTTGTATTTCATTTTTTGGCAAAAGTTTATGAGATTTGTAATTTACACGCGGTTTACATAAGTTATAAGTTATACGTAACTTCATGTATTTATTATTTACATCTATTCATTTTGTCCAGATAAGACCTATAAAATTAGTCAAGTGAGGTATGACTAACAAATTTGCCTTGTTGACATTTCATACAAACAGAGATAAAATTCTCTTTGTCATGAATTCCAACATTTCATTCGGCTAAATGGGCCGAACGGCCCCAAATTCTCTATATGATTAAACCTTTTGACGGATAACCGATCGGACCGAACCGGAGAAACAAATCTTGTGGATCAGTAAAGAGTCTTCTAGTGTTTTGATTAGTGTGGTTGAGAGATAACGAGTGTGCTGCTTTAACCGAGGAAGCTGCTTTAACCGAGGGATGGACAAAATGTTCCTTATATTTTCACTTTGGTCCTTTATGCATTTTAATTCAATCTTAAAACTCGAATATTCATAATCAAAGATACCGAACTTATAAGTTAATTTTGCATTTCACCTTCTCTTTTTTATTACAAACTAGGTATTACTTGCGCATACACGCGAGTTTTGTTGTAAAACATTTCTTTCAGTTTTTTGCAAATTTATGTATTTCAACAGTAAGTATTTTATACAAAAATAAGACCAAACAACATTACAAGTTCACGTACAAGATATAGTAAAGTCATAAATTAAAGAAATTTGAGATAATAAAATTGGAAAATTATAAGAGAACCTAATAGTATTACTAATTTCTGTAAATGGTTCGAACTCACAGGACCAAAACTGGATCATGCATGCTTGTAAAAATTACAAAAAATTTTAATCAAAGACTCCAAAAGGTCTTTCCCACCTAGAGGCGATTTCCTCTTGCCGAAAGGAGTATTGCATCCGTGAAGCCTTTAAAAGCTATAATGAATTAAAAATCACAAAAATGACGATAATTTTTGGTAACGCATCGGTTAAAAAAAAAAAAAAAAGACATGTATAGCAAATCTTAGTTGAAGACAAACAAATTCAAACTTAAATCTAACTCCTTAGGAACTAAACACGGGTGATATACCCGTTATAACCCAAACATCCCCCATTTATAAATGAAGAGAAAGAGATATTCCTTTGTTACGTATCTTTGAAGCAAATGTCACATGTTTTGGAAACATTACGTAGCATCTTATACAGTCTTGAGCAGTGGCCACAAAGAAATAGTCCAACAAATTGAGAAAGAAAACATTATTAGCTGATTATAGTCAAGCAAGTAAAGAATTGCAAATCAATGAGCACGATCATTCTTTGGTGGAAGGTGAAAGTAGAGTCCTCTGCTCTTCTGTAGGTTTCATCATTTCATGTGCTAAGACAAAGTCATAACTATATGGGCTCCATCTTCTAACCCACTCTTGAAATGCTCCGATTGAAATATGACAGCGAATTCACTACAAAAGAAAAGACAAAGTGAAGTTTCAGTAAGTGGGCTTCATTTGTCAAATGTTTATTATTTATACTTGCTTTCTTATCAAATTTGAAATCCAAATTTTTGTTTACCTTTCGTTTCCCCAAATGACATTGTACTTCAAAACATGAACAACCAAATCAGTTCCGAGGATGCTAGCTAGTATTACAATGGCGTCAACAAGAGATTTTGTTGATTATTCATCCCACCACTTCACCAGGGACCACAACGGGAAGATAAGTCTATTTGTTTTTCAGAATTTGAGTACTGACCGCTATCAGGTGCTTTTACAAAATGAAGCCTACTTAACAGAGCCTTGTTTTGTGTTTTTGTGGCATACCACAACATTTCTTAGGTAAGTGAGAAACAACTCTGATGGGGATGTAGACGTCTTAAAATGTAACTACACTGAAAAGTAAAATCAAGATCGTTAACCAAGAAAAACGAGAATACACCTGCATAATCAAACAAAGCCATAAAACAAC